ATCTTTCTTTATCCGTCCATAGTATACTCTGCATTTCCCCTTAATCAATAAAATCTTTATGATTTTAAATAACTTTTTGTTAATGTTAAAAGGGGGAAAATAAAAGCTATACATCAATTAAGAGGGAACATTTTCTAAATGAATATTTTCTAACTTATGCATAAACTAAGGGGAACCTTTTTCCAAACAATTCAAAATCATTTTTTGTATGCATATCCTCGTCTTGTTTGCCATTATCAAAAAGGGTTAAATTGTTGGAACACACTTTACAACAACGCTGTATTAAAATGATGTTTGACTTTTGATAGATTTTGATAAATGCCAAACCGCCGTGTATATGAAAAAGCTTCATTGAAGTTCTCAAGGCATAAAACAAAGCTTGGCACAAGACTTAGCATCAAGAAGAAAGGCTAAGACGAAGACTTATACTTAGGGTTGAGTTGGTCTCATTGTGATTAAGACCGACTTTGGTTTTCAAGTCTTGGTTCTCAAAAGGTAAAACACATTTTACAAAATCATGAAATCACTTTTATGCCTCCCCCAAACACTTTTCACAAATGCTTTAAGTTGCCAAAAATAGTTGGTTGCTCCCCAAACAAAAACCACAACGTTCAGTGTTCGGTTCTCGGTGTCGGAATCAACCAAGTAGTTTTTAACTTTTTATTATTGATTTTTACTTCTGGACATAATTAAATGTGTTCTCAACAAAACTTTCCAAAAACCACCTTTGGTTTTTGGTCTTTGATAAAAAAACCATGAAAATCGTCTTTAACTTAGTGATTTGTGATTTTCACCTTAATGACATGGTTTTTAAGTTTTTATACTTGGTTTCTACATAAAATACATAAAAAAAATTATGTACAACACTTGGTTCTTAATTTGGGAAACTTTGATTTTTGGCATCGGCTTAAAGCATTAACTTCCCAAACCATGGTTCTGGGGACCGGACCCAACAACAATGTTGGAACCTCAACAACGTTGTTTTGTTAAGTCTGGGAAATCCCAAATTTGGTAGAAGGTCTCACAACAACGATGTTAAGATTTGAACATCAATGTTTGGCAAGGCCTGAAAAAATATACTACCTCTGTCCCACTGTCTTTGTCCACTTTTGACTTTTGGAACTATTCATCTAAGCACTTTGACTCATCAAATTTTCTCAATGTGTAAGCCTAAATATAGTCATGTGTGATCTTGTTTGATTTGTCTTAACATATAGATTATTAATATATAATTTCTATAATTTTTTAAAATACAAATTACAAGATAAAATGGATTAAAGAAGTGCATTGGATGGTGTGCCAAAAGATAAGTGGACAAAGACAGTGGGACGGAGGGAGTAAATGGGTATTTTTTTAGCATCAATTTTTTTTTAATTATTTTTGTTTTACATTGATATTTTCTTCTAAGTAGTATTTTTGTAAGTTTTTAGGAAAACTTTCTAGATTGGAGTAAAAACCGTAAAAATACTAAAATAAGAGTCATAAGTCTTCTAAAACCGAAATAAGATTTCACACTGTCATTGTTACATTGACACACTCACCACATTGTTACATCGTAAGTGCAACACTATCGGCATCACACTGTCATCTGTTACCGTAGGCCACCAGAATGTTGTTGTAGATCACTCACCGTTGAGGCGTTGACTGATCACACTGGTATATTACACTTTCATCACTTTTCCATCACACTACCAACACAAACTCTTACACCACACTATCATTGTACTTCTATTTTGGTCTTAAAAGATTTAAAACTCATAGTTTGACATTTTCATACTATTTTTACTCATATCTAGGGAGATTTCCTTAAGTTTTTTTCTTTGAATTGGTATTTACTGTTATGTTTGATTGTAGTTTTGCTTAAAACAATGAAATCTTATCATTTTGTTATTGTGTTAATTAAATATTTACCATTTATATATTTTTTTAAAATTACTATAGTTACTACAAAAATTAAATATTTAAAAACTCTTTAAAATTTAATTTAGAATATTAGTTTAAAAATGGTACTCCCTCCGTTCTCAAAAACACTTCCTCTTTCATTTTTTTTCACTTTCAACAAAACACTTCCACTTTCTATTCAAAAACCACTTTTACTCTTACTCTTTCATATCCTACCTATCACATCATACTTTATCTCTAATAATCTATCCATCACATCTTACTTTTACCAATCACATCAAGGGCAAAATTAGAAGTCAATTACAATTTAATTTTTCCTTATTTTTACACAAAGTCAAAAGAGGAACACGTTTTCCAAACGGAGGGAGTAGTTTATTTAAAATGGTAGTAGTAAGTTGGCAAATTGACGTATGTACACCATCATTTTTAGTAAAAAAGTATGAAATTAGTGAAATCTGATGTGACGTTACACCACACTGTCATTGTACTTCAATTTTGGTTTTAAAAGATTTAAAACTCAGATTTTGACATTTGCATACTTTTTTAGTCATATCTAGGGAGATTTCTTTAAGTTTTTTTTCTTTGAATTGGTATTTTCTGCTATGTTTGATTGTAGTTTTGCTTAAAACAATGAAATCTTATCATCTTGTTATTGTGTTAATTATTTCCCATTTATGTTTTTAAAAAAATTACTATAGGTACTACAAAAATTAAATATTTAAAAACTTTTTAAAATTTAATTTAAAATATTGGTTTAAAAATGGTAGTTTATTTAAAATGGTAGTAGTAAGTTGGCGAATTGACGTATGTACACCATCATTTTTAGTAAAAAAAATATGAAATTCGTGAAATCTGATGTGACGTTAATGTGGAAGAGAGATATAATACAGTAAGGGGCTATTTGTTTCAGCCTCTTAATGGTTCAGATGTCTGAATAGTTCAGCATTTAATGGTTCAGACTGTTTGTTTCAGCCATTTAATGGTTCAGATGTCTGAATGGTTAAGAGATTTGCCTCTAAATGGTTAAGTATTATACAGAGTCTGAATGGTTAAGACCTCTTATCTGAATTGATCAGACATTTGTCTCTGAATAGTTAAGCAATATACTAGCTCTTAATGGTTCAGACCTCTTACTGGTTCAACACTTAATGGTTCAGACCTCTTACTCGTTCAGCACTTACCTATTCAGAAGTTGCCAAACAGCCCCTAAGAAAGGTATACAAGGTATGTACTAGTATCACACCAGTGCGTTGCACGGGCCATTTTTATGTTATTAAATTCAAATCATTTTTCAATGATAAAAATGAAATGCACTAAAAAATAGAGATTATATTATTTTAAGGTAAAAAACATCATTGTTTTACAAATTTTGAAAGACTTCTTTATAGACTACATTATTGTACAATTTGTGAGAATATTTATAGTATATTTAATTGTAATAGGCTATAGGCTATAGGCTATTATAATTATAATTATAATAAGAAGGGTTAACTTTTTTCGAAATTTGGTGTATAATTATTCTTACCATAATTATTTTTTTTTCTCGAAATTGGGTGTATAATTGTATAACTTACCTTTTTTAATTATTTCCAATTTTCAAAAACTTACTCTTCGCATTTGTATAACTTACCTTATTAAAAACTTATGCTTTGGATTCGTATAACTTACCTTTTTTAATACGGTAATTATTATAAATATAATAATTATATTAACTTCCGATGGCTTACAATTTTATATTACTCACATTAATTATTATAAAACTAGTTATATTAACTTCCGATGGTTAAAAATGATAGTTACTTATTCTTACAATAATTTCAGACGTTTCCAATCAGTAGTCAAAATAACGTTGGTTAATTATTAGCATATAGTACATGTATTCCAATTTTATTAAAAACTTATGCTCTACAATTTTATAACTTACCTTTTTTAATTATTTCCAAGTTTCAATAAGTTAATTATTATATATATATATATATATATATATATGTATATATATATATAATAATAATAATAATAATAATTATATTAACATCACGCTTACCATTTTATATTACTCACATTAACTATTATAAAAATAATAGCTATATTAACTTCACACTTACAATACGTTAATTAATTATTATAAAAATAATAGCTATTATTATATTTATAACTTTTTTAATAATTATAAATCCACAATTTCGGCCACTTACCATTTTAACATCACAATTATTTACTTACCTTTCGGCCATTTTATAATTATTGTAAATATATTATTTCTACAATTTCGGCCACTACAATTATTAACTTACCTTTTTTAATTAGTTCCAATTTTCAATACGTTAATTATTATATTTATACCTTTTTTAATAATTATAACTTCACAATTTCGGTCACTTACCATTTTAACTTCACAATTATTAACTTACATTTTAGCCATTTTATAATTATTATAAATATAATATTATAATAATTATTACTACAATTTCGGCCACTATAATTATTAACTTACCTTTTTTAATTATTTCCAATTTTCAATACGTTAATTATTATATTTATACCTTTTTTAAAGAATTAATTTCACAATTTCAGCCACTTACCATTTTAACTTCACAATTATTAACTTACCTTTCGGCCATTTTATAATTATTATAAATATAATAATTATAATAATTATTACTATAATTTCGGCCACTGCAATTATTAACTTTCCTTTCGGCCATTTTAACTTACCTTTCTTTAATTATTATAAATATAATGATTATAATAATTATTACTATAATTTTGGCCACTTACCATTTGAACTTCACAATTGTCATTTGTAATTTTCATATTTCTTGGGCGGGAAAACTATATGTTAACTCCATGTCTTTTTAAATAAAGTATGGATGACCTCCACTCCTATAGTACCAAACATAAAAAAATAGAAATCACCCTAAATAAGACTAAAGTATAGAGAAAAATATTAAAATATGATTTTCATATTTTTTTCCCGAAATAGTACGTTGTACTGTTGTAATGTGATACTGTACATATGCACATTATTATACTTTTTGGTAATGTACATGACCATATTTGGTAATACTACGTATAAATGCTAAGTCTTATTTCAGGAACAAAAACATGAAAGTCTCATTTTGATATATTTTCAATGTTTTAGTCCTATTTTAGTCTTTCTCCCAGAAAAAGAAATTATATTTTTTATGAGATAATTTCCCTTCAATCAAAGTGTTAAAAAAATAGGGCTGACAAATAGTATTTGTAAAAACAAATACCCGAGTACTTAAAATCAATAATCCAACCGTCCTTCTTGAGGTCAATCCACGCGATCAGCCTGGATGATGGGCTATGACGGCCGCAACGGAGCTGCTGGGGGAGGGTTTGCGCAGCAGACGCCGCAGGCGGCGGAGGAACTTTACGCGGGTGCCAAGATATCGGTGTGGTGGGACATAGAGAACTGCCCAGTGCCCAAGGGCTCCGATCCGCACGCAATCGCGCTCAACATAAGCTCTGCGCTGGTGAAATTGAACTACTGTGGGCCTGTTTCCATCTCCGCCTACGGAGATACTACCAGAATCTCGCCTTTTGCTCAGCAGGCCCTTAATAGCACCGGAGTCGCCCTCAACCATGTCCCAGCAGGTACTGTATATTTATTTTGTAATTCATGCTTAGAGATGAGATGCTACAGAAGAATTTGTGCAAGGTAAATAGGGTTTTATTTTTTGGAGCTGTTGGGTTTGCAAGATAGGAGATCAAACGATAGTTTTCATGTGTTCTTTTCAGCTGTTTATTGGTAAATAATGACTAACATGGGCGTATTCAACATAGAGTTTATAGGAATTTTTGTATTTTAAAAGTTTATGGATATTTAGTTAAAATTTTGAAAAGCCATTTAAAAGCATGGCATTTCAATTTGGATTTTAAAATGTCCATCTAAATCTAATGGTATTGAGAATTCTCAAGATTTTCAAAAAGTTTGTTAAATGATGGATTTTAAAGTGTTTGATATAAGTACAAATCTATGGAGAAATCTTATGACAAACATAAAGATTGTGATGGATTTTCTTTTCTCTCTTCTTTGTTTCTCTCTTTTTAGGTCAAATTGAGTTTGAGATTCTCAGTGTCGGTTAAAAAAAGTCATTGAACTTTTTTTTTTGTCAAAAATGTTGCTCTTATTTTTTATTTTAATAATGCTATTGAAATATTTAAAATGTTCAAAAATTTCATTCAAATATTTTTAGCCGGTAAAACGTAATACCCTTGTTCTTTTGTTTCGCTTCTAACTTTATATCTTTTTCTTAGGTTTTCCCATTGCCCTGAATGTTGATATGGTCTTAGATAGGATCGTTTGGAAAGCTAGGAGTAAGGTAGTTGGGTAGGCACTTTGGGCTAGGTGGTAGTTGCATTCTATGTGTTGTGCTTTGTATGCTTGGTGTTCTCTGCTTGCAGTGCTTTCTCTTTGCCTCTTTGTGTTATCTCTGCTCTATGTGTCTTGTGTGATCTTTTATTATCTGTGTTGCATGAGCCGAGGGCCTCTTAGAAATAGTCTCTCTACTTTCGAGTATGGGCAAGGTCTGCATACACACACCCTCGCCAGACCCTACTCTGGTTGCTCTATGTGTCTTGTGTGATCTTTTATTATCTGTGTTGCATGAGGCAAGGGTCTCTTAGAAATAGCCTCACTACTTTCAAGCAGAGGCAAGGTCTGATTGCACACACCCTCCCCAAACTCTACTATGGTGAGATCCAACTGGGTTGTTGTTGTTGTCGTCTAAGAAATTTTTTCCCCCAATTCTTTCCACCCACAAAGACTACTAATAATAAAAATTTACTATTTTAAAACATAGCTCTTTAATGCTTTGTGTGATATATTTCTCATTTTTCATTTATAAAAATACTCTCTCCATCCCCAAAAAATCCATGTTCTTTTTTGAATGTGCACAAAAAATTCTGATTTTAATTTATTTTCTTTCTAAAAAGTGAACATGTGACTCAAAACTTTGTCTCTTATCTTTATAAATTCCAACTTATTTTTTACTTTTTAAGATTTTTATAAATTTTGTGAGAGTCGCATTAGGAAATGGTAAAGATGAAAAAGTGAGTATGTTGGAATTAGTTTGGATAAAAGTTTTAAGTCACGTGTTCACTTATTAGAAAGAAAAAATTTAAGTAGGATTGTTTTTAGGGACATACCACAAAGGAAAGTAAGTCTTTTTTTGAACGAAGGTAGTATTTTTATCAATGACAATTGAAAAATATCATATGTTACATAGCTTTATTTTAAGACATTTTTTTGAATGAATACAATCTTTGTGAGTAGAGTGAATTGGAAAAATACAATTATTCGAGAAATAAGATAAAAGAGAAAATGATGACATAGTTTTTTAATGAATCCGGTCTTTTTTTAATGAATACAATCTTTTTTTCATTTGTCATTAATAAAAATACTATCTCCATCCCAAAAATATCCATTTTTCTTTTTTGAATATGCACAAAAAATTCTACGTTTAATTGGTTTTCTTTCTAGAAAGTGAACATGTGACTTAAAAATTTGTCTTTTATCTAAATAAATTCCAACTTCTCACTTTTTAACATTTTTTAAAATTCGGTGAGAGTCACATTAGAAAATGTTAAATATGGAAAAATGAGTACGTTAGAATTAGTTTGGAGAAAAGTTTTTAAGTCACATGTTCATTTATTAGAAAGAAAAAAGTTAAGAAGGACGTTTTTAGGGACATTCCACAAAGAAAGTAAGATATTTTTTTCCAGCGAAGGTAGTATTTTTATCAATGACTACTAAAAAATATGATATGTTACATAGCTTTTTTTTATTTATGATTAAAGTCTTTTTGAGTAGAGCGAATTGGGATTTTTTTTGAGGAATAAGATGAAAGAGAAAATGATGACATAGGTTTTTAATACTCTCTATGATATTTTTTTAATTTATCATTAATAAAAATACTATCTCCCATTGTTGTCAAGTCGTCGCCTAGTCGACAACTAGTCGTCGACTAGTGGCGTTTTCTGAATGGCGACTTGCACGTCGACTAGGGACTAGGATAGACTAGGTGTTTGGGTGAGTTAAGCGACGCCTAGGCAATGACTAGTCAGTGAAGAAAACCTGCCCAGTCTGAACCAACCCAATTTGACCCAAGTCGACCCAAATTTCATTAAACTTAAAAAATTACTCAATAAAACAAAGCCTCCCTCGATTAGTTCAATCAGCACAATCAAAACCCAGTGAATCGACATTTAACTATTCCCATATCGCGACATCTCCTTCATCGACATCTTCCAGAGTTTGCAGATCCAGAATCAATTTTTTGGAATTGATTCTTCTAATCTTCTTCATCTTCTAGTACTCACACACTCTCTATCCATAAGTAACATCTCTCTATCTTTAATTATTTATCATTAAAGTATACTCTTAATTCGGTTTAATTTTCTTTAATTTGGTTCATTACTATTAAAGTATATTATACTCTTAATTTTTCAGTTTTATTAATTTTTTACTGACTTAATGTTTTACCTTTAAACATAATTTTATTTTGGTAATGATATTTTGTCATATAAATATATATATAGTTATCTTGGGTGAATGAAGATATATATAATGTTAAAAATTTCAATACTAATTGTGATTTGTCGATTAGTCTACGCCCTACGGCTAGTATGCCGGCTAGTCGACTAGTCCACTAGTCTCTCCTTCACTGACTCGACATGACTTGTCGACTTAACAACCATGCTATCTCCATCCCAAAAAATCCATTTTTCTTTTTTGAATGTAGACAAAAAGTTATACGTTTAATTTATTTTCTTTCTAAAAAGTGAACATGTGACTTAAAAACTTGTCTCTTATCTGAATAAATTCCAACTTCTCACTTTTTAACATTTTTATAAGTTCAGTGAGAGTCGCATTAGAAAATGTTAAACATGGAAAAGTGAGCACGTTGGAATTAGTTTGGATAAAAGTTTTTAAGTCACATGTTCATTTATTAGAAAGAAAAAAATTAAGTAGGAACTTTTTTAGGGACATTCCACAAAGGAAGTAAGATTTTTTTTGAACAAAGGTAGCATTTTTATCAATGACCACATGTTCATTTATTAGAAAGAAAAAAATTAAGTAGGAATTTGTTTCGGGACATTCCACAAAGGAAAGTAAGATTTTTTTTGAACGAAGGTAGTATTTTTATCGATGACAACTTAAAATTATCATATGTTACAGAGCTTTATTTTAAAACAATTTTTTTATGAATACAGTGTGAGTATAGCGAATTGGGAAAAACAATTTTTTTGAGAAATAAGATTGAAGTGAAAATGATGACATGGGTTTTTAATACTTTGTATGATATTTATTTCATTTATTATTAATAAAAATACTATCTCCATCCCAAAAAATCCATTTTTCTATTTTGAATGTGCACAAAAAATTCTACATTTAATTTATTTTCTTTCTCAAAAGTGAACTTGTGACTTAAAGACTTGTCTCTTAACTAAATAAATTCCAACTTTTCACTTTTTAACATTTTCGAAATTTCCGTGAGAGTTGCATTAAAAAATATCAAAGATGAAAAAGTGAGTACATTGGAATTAGTTTGGTTAAAAGTTTTTAAGTCACATGTGCTCTTATTAGAAAGAAAAAAATTAAGTAGGAATTTTTTTAGGGACATTCCACAAAGGAAAGTAAGATTTTTTTGAACGATGGTAGTATTTTTATCAATGAATGTCATATGTTACATAGCTATATTTTAAAACAAACTTTTTTTAATATAGTCTTTGTGAGTAGAGCGAATTGGGAAAAACAAATTTTTGAGAAATAAGATGAAAGAGAAAATGTTGCATCAAAGAAGTCTATTGCCATGCCGTAATTATTTTTATTTTTTATCTACTCCCTCCGTCCCGATGTTTATGTCCACTTTCATTTTGGCGCATATACCAAGGAGAAGGGAATAAATGAATGAAGTTACAAAAATGCCCGCAAAAGAGGGCAGCACTGGTTCATCCCTCTCTCACAACATTTGGCTAACCATCCAAGACTTCACATTGGAGAAAATTAAAAATTGAAGCATTGATTGCAGAACCACTACTCTCACAATAATGGTGCGTGCATAGTCGACAGATCTGACCTAGAGATTTGAGAAGCACTGACGACATATCTCTTGAACGCCGTCTATTGCAGATCCACCCCTCTCACAACAATGATCAATTATCTATGACGAGAAGCAACAACAGCGATCGATTAGCAACATCAATAAGCAAGGGCGATGTTCAAGGCTGAGAAGATCCAATCGGCGAGTATGCTGATGAGATGAGAGATTAAGACTATTTTGAGAGGAGGGCAAATTGGTCATTTCGTACTCAATAATTTACCATAAATGGAAAGTGAACAAACACATTGGGACGGAGGGTGTATAATTATATATTGTTCTAATCAACTTTGAAGTCAATTATATAAACAAATCCTAATAATATTGTACATTAAAATCTATCGAAGTCCATGTAAACGCAAAAGATTCATGGATTTTAAATAATCCATGGATTAAAACTCTGACATAATCTTTTAAAATCTGAATTGAATACACTCTCCTAAGTGCATCGGTAAATTGATATTTATGTATTATTTGTTTTGTATCATATGGGAAGGCCTTTTTTCTGTGTTCATTATTCAATCTGATAAACAATCTTCCTCATTTGGAAATATCTATGAGGCCTTTGAGGGATGAAACTGGTTTTTTCTTTTATTAGCTATTTTTTCCTCGGAGGTTTTGGTGAAGTTGTTAGGGTTCTCAGTTAGGGAATTGGCCCGTAAGTAGGGCATGCTCTATTGCTTCATATTGCTTATAATCCTTATATATGTGAGAGCCCTTTGAAGGCACAAATCAAATAATGCAGACATATCATCAGCCATCAGGTTGCAATGGCCTATTAACTGTAGTTTTTTAGTTTGATGGCATCGTATATGTCTCCATCTATGTATTTGATTGCTGCAAAATGAAATAACTCTCTGTTTAGGTGTCAAAGATGCTAGTGATAAGAAGATTCTCGTGGACATGCTGTTTTGGGCAGTTGACAATCCAGCTCCTGCTAGTTATGTATTGATATCCGGTGATCGGGATTTCTCTAATGCTCTCCACCAGCTACGATTGCGCAGATACAACATTCTTTTAGCACAACCTCAACAAGCATCAGCAGCACTTGTTGCTGCAGCAAAGACTGTATGGCTTTGGACCAGCCTTTCAGCTGGGGAGGCCCCTCTCAGTCATTGTGAATCAAAAACGTTTGCAAATAACCGCAATGGAGGCCTTTCCCACTGTGGCACTTCAGCAATTCAAGTTAGTAATGCCAGCAGCAGCCAGCTTAACCACTCTTCTGTGGATAGAGTCCTTGAAAGTAATATTCAACAAGGACATGAAAATTACCAGAGTTTGAATGCTCAACAAGGACATTGGTCTTCTAAACAGGTACATGATCGTACAGAGATGTTTGCTACTCAAGTTTTAAATAAGCTCATTACTTGTAATGGCAACCCTTATCCTCCTCAAAACTACTGTACTGCACCGGTGAAGCGTAAGCCTAATGTTTGGACAAGGCAACCTACACAGCCGCCACCAGAACATTTTTCACCACCTTATCCATATGTGATGGCCCCCATGCCTGTTGCACATAAAAATGAAAAGTCAATGAGGAAAGCCAAGAAGTTGAAGAAACAAATGTGCCAAATGAGTAACACAATGAACAAGAAAAGGAAGGGGCACAATTGTGGTGGCCAACCAAGTAAGAAAAATCGCAGGGCAGCTGCATTGAGGTTTTTCTATTGTGGAGAGTCTGGGCATGTGAACGATGATGATTGTCCACCGTTGAAACAGGATTGTCAGCAGTGGACACCTGGGCCCACTAGAGATGTTGTTAGCCAGGCCATGGGTGATGGAAACTACCTGGATATGGATATATCTAGATCCCCCACACCAAGTGTTACTCACATAGCAGGTGGGTCCAGTCCAGACGTTGCTAGTCAGGCCATGGGCTGTGGGAACTTCCAGAATATTGGTATATCTGGAGCCCCGGCACTGAGCATCGCTCGCCAGACAGGGGTGTCTAGTAATACCTTAATACTGGGGGGTGACAGTTGTGGAAAATGCGTGCATCCGAAAAAGGATTGTCAACTGTCGACAGCTGGTCCCACTAGAGAAGATGCTAGCAAGGCAAAAGGTAGTGGGAACAATAAAGATAGGGGTATATCTGAAGACTCAACATCACGCTTTCAAACGCGCTTTGTGGCGCGCATGATTGCTGGATCTGCTCTAGATTTTTCTAGTCAGGTCACGGGCAATGTTAACTGCAAGGATAAGGGTGGTAAATCTGCACCTCTGGCATCGAGTGTGACTCGTATGCTGGAGCCCAAGTCCACCACAATGAGCATCACTCACATGGCATTGGCAGCTAGTAACACTCCAGCACTAGTGCACGACAAGCCAGTGACTCGATTACAGACACGAAAATACACCTTGACAGGAAATGGTGATGCTTGCTCAAAGCCCGACACAGTTACAGGTAATTTATTTAACGCATATTGCATTTTTAATTGTTAGTTGATTGTCAGGTAATTTATGAATGGTGTTTGTTCAAGGTTTTCATAAAATATGGAATTGTATCCGTGCATGGTCCTTTCCATAAAAAATAAGTACTCCCTCTTTCCCACTATTTTTGTCCTTTTTTTACCATTTTTGTCCGTTCCGCTATTTTTGTCGCATACCATATTTGGTTATGTTCATGTGGCATTTTCACTTGGTGAGCATTCCCGGGGCAAGGTCACACCCTATAAGTGGTGATGATCCTACTTAAGTATTGAACCAAACCTGAGCCCACCATGGGTGTAAGCAGACCCAACATTAAGTGGGAAGAGACTTGGGTTGTATACCAGTTATATAGAAAATCAGGAATGTGATTTTTCTTCCCTTAGTGGGTGTATGAGCTCATTGGGCTGATTGATGATGCGCACAATGGTTTTGCAAGTAACTTCCTTAAGGCCCCGTTTGGTATATGGAATTGGAATTGAATTGAAATTGAAATTCTATGGGATTCAATTCCATGGAATTGAGTTCACCAATTCCAATTCATTTTTTGCACTATCAATTTCAAATCTACATAATTTTTGTGCTACCAAACACCAAAATTGGAATTGAAGTCCTCAATTCTAATTCCATAGTTTGAATTCCGTGTACCAAACGGGGCCTAAGGGTCCGTTTGGTATACGGAATTGATGGAATTGGAATTGAATTGGAATTGAAATTCCATGAGATTCAATTCCATAGAATTGAATTCACTAATTCCAATTCATTTTTTGCACTATCAATTCCAAATCCACATAATTTTTGTGCTACCAAACACCAGAATTGGAATTGAAGTCCTCAATTCCAATTCCATAGTTTGAATTCCGGGTACCAAACGGGGCCTAAGAATTTGAATTTATTTTGACTACAATCATTATTTCTAGAAGGAAAAAGTTCATTTATATCCATGAGATGGTTATCCCCTAAAGGTTATGATTGTCAATTGAACACTCCCTCCACATCCCAAAAAGATTCTCATTCATTATTCATGTAGTCAAACTATACCTTCTTTCTTCACATATTTTCATTGGTCATTTCATAAAATGAAATAGTCCAGTCACCTCTTGTATTGTGCGGAGTAAAACTTTTGAAGTAGTTTTTAAAATACATAAATTTTATTTTCTAAATTCTATGTAAATATTCAAATAAATTGAATTCAAAATAATTTCAGTCGAACTGTAATGGGAACCTTAGTTTACGATTGAGGGATTACTTTGAGATTCGGGCTACACTCCAATTTATAACGTGATATTTTATCCATATCGTGCAACGATTATTGTTATGCCATATTTTTGGCTTTGTGAGTTATCATCTTCTAACTAGACTCTGTGCTCAATCACTCCCCTCATGCTTTTCAGGTCAATCAAATCGTTGATTCTTGTCCGAGGGTGGTGTGACCTAAGTATCACTCATTGTGCTCGTACTACCCTTAGACATCTTGCAATATTATTCCTAGACATGTATTTTTTCACATGTATTTGTTTTTTCCCATGTAATTTGAAATGTATTCCGGCAGTGACGTGACATCCTTGTTCATGGTGGGAGGGTATACATACATATCGTTCATCTTGATGCTTTTGGACACAATGTAAGCTTCTTCGTTGTTCATATACAAGGTCGAGCTCAAGATATAAAACAAGCCCTTCATGATTGATAACTCAAACATACTTTTTATGTTCCCTGTATTTGTTGAACACATAGTTTCTTTTTTAGTAGGTAATTCATTTGTGTTTGATAAATATTCAAGTCTCTTTTGATATGTGATTGTACTGGACGCTCATACTTGGGGTTGTACAATATAGGTATTCCATTTTGACATCAAACACAAAATATCGTCCACGCGAATGAAAATCTATTAAAATCTACACTTTTACGAAGACTCGATCTGTTTTGTCCTGTTAAATTTTGACTCACAGGTTTTGATAATCGATACACATAAGCTGTATAAGTTGAGAATAAAGTATTACATTGACAAACACAAATATTTGAAGTGTCAAATCTCTTGAAATAATCGAGCACAAGATTTCTTGGAGATGGAGACACCAAACGGAGCGCCTAACGGAAGCGAAGAAAAAGATTTCTAAATACTTTTAATTTACTTGAGTTTAGAAAACTTGTAAAGATGACAAGTATTCTTCACTCCAAAATTATTTTTATGCGAGTTCTATAAAAACTACTTCGTATATTATTTTCAGAGTCAGTTTAAAAATTATTTTTTCTTTGACCAAAATAGTTTTATCTAGTCAGTTATAAAGTGTGTCAAATCTTAATCAAAATATTTATTTTGGTAAAATAATTTTTTTATGTGAGAAATATATCTTATACAGATTTTTTGTACACTGTTTGACACAAAATATTTTTTCGAATTCAGTTTCTCATCCCAATTCTTCTTAAATTAAAATTTAGAGTCATTATTGGAGCATCAGAAGTCAGAACATCACTCTCAGGCCTCCAAAGCATTAAATGCAAAGATCTCTAGCCTCTTTAAGCTTTTGACTTTGTGTAAGGCTTTGTTTTTTGCTTTTCTACGGGCAAAATTGATTTTTTATTTTTGGAGAATTGGTTTTTGGTCCTAGATTTCAATAGTCTAAAATCTGGACTTAGAAAAATCAATTTTTGGGTATAAAAATCAAGTTTTTCTTAAGCCTTATTCTACATGATTTTTCAGGCTCAGAAGTATCGGTTTTCCTCCCTAAAAAATCAATATTTTAGCAAAAATCTGCAACAACTTTCTTTTCTTGGAGCAACAGATATATTCTCTTTTCCATTCTTAAACCTTCATCCTTGGTCATTTTTAGACACTTGAAACATTCAGAAAACTCTTCACTCATGTGATCATTTTACTCCTTTTATTCATTCCTCAAATAAGTCATTTTTTAGTGAAAACAATTTATTTTCTAGAGGGTGTTCTTGGCATCCATTGAGCTTTATTATTTTATCATTTTGAGACTTATATGACTTAAGTTCTCAGGTTGTAAACGGTTTATCAAGCACCCGGTTAAGCGTGATAGGTAGTGGAATACTTCGACAGAGTTTCTCGGGGGACTAGCCTAGCCACGAGATGGTGAACGAGTATACATCAGTGTGTTTTTTGCCTTCTCTTATTTATTTTCGATGTATACTCGTTTAACTTATTTTATACAAGGCAAAATTCACAAGAACACTCCCAGAAATTAGAGATTTTACATAAATACTCCCAAATTTTTTTATTTACACCATTACTCCCACATTTTTCTTTTATTTACGTCGTTACTCCGCGATTGCTTCATCATCAGCGTTTCTCGGGTGCCTCTTTTTATACGGGGTTTTTCATCTTTTTTTATTGAATTCAAATTAAATTAATATGAACAGACTTGATATTAAACATTAAAAAGATTTAAGAAGTTTGAAATCTCAATTTTTTTTAAAAGTGATGGGAAATAAGGGCAATAATCAGGCTTACTAAGACGTGAGAAAGACGATGGAGAGAATAAGTTGAAGTGAATTTAGTATATTAGAGTGGATAAAATACATGTCTGCATTTTAACTGTTCACTTAACGCAAAAATGACACATCCAAGTAACACTAATGATCACTACAAATTTGGGAGTAACAACGTAAATAAAAGAGAAATGTGGGAGTAATGATGTGAATAAACAAATTTGGGAGTACTTATGTAAAATCTGTAATTTCTAGAAGTATTCTTGTCAATTTTGCCTTTATACAAACACACTGCAAAAATTGGTAAACATTCTCACCCATCTTGAGTTGCACACATTATCTAGCCAGTGGTACCAGAGCAGATATTTCTAACGCTTTTAGACATTTGAAAAAATGATCAAATGTTTTTGAGAATGTTGAACGCAGAGAATTTAAAACAACCATGGCTCATGCCAAAAATATAAATAGTTCATTTCGAAATTTTTATTAAACTAGAGAAATCTGTAACACATCCAGCCAACATCTCATCCCTGCAGGATTGACTCTAGATTCATCCCTTATTCCGTTTACTTGCGTGTAGCAAATAAAACATACTACATGCTCAACGGTGAAGCTGAGTAAAAATATATAATGTGTAGCACATACACATAGATAGAGTCACAATTCTTAACCAAATCATATGGTATCGTGCAAGTAATATACAATTCAAATCATTTAGCTTCAATACAATATACATCAATTATCATCCGTGATCTCAACAGTGCTCTTAAATCATTTTTTAGTTTAAGGCGGCCAGTTCATATATTTTTCACATAAGAATCATGACCTACCCTATAGATGTATAGGTCAGAGTCACCAAACAACAGACTTTTCACCGACGGGTGGGTGGTACTCCAGATGGGTGATACTCAAATGGTTTGTCGTTCTCGTATGTACGCTTTTACCCAAGCGACTAATATATAATCAAACACAAGAGATCAATCTTAGAATTCTTCTAAATAGCATTTATCATTGATTTATCATAATTGTTACATAATCATAATTAAATCATCATTGTCATCAAACAATCATGTAGTAACAAATAGCGGCCTAACGTTGAATGTTAACATCCTAGCTTACCATCATGCAACAAACAAAGTTTTGGAATCCATCAAAATATTAATTTAATTTACACTACGTGGTGGTAGCAGTACTAGAATACCATTCAACGGTATCAAGCCATGGTCTGTCATCTTCAATTTTTAGTGTAAAGTATCTTGTGGCGGTAGGTAGCTACAGTCCAACGGTAGTGTGCCACCTTGTAACGGAACTATGATAGTGTGACCCTATCCCAAGTGCAAAGATGAATAGTGATTCATCTTCTTCATCGATCCAAAGTTCATAGGGGTAATTTTTGGTCATTAAACTTGATTTTAATCGTATAAAAATGTTCTATAACATCCATATTTCATCTTAAATCAATTCATTCGAAGCTTTAACAAAAATTTTCAAGCTCATGATTCACGGGTTCTTCAAAAATCATACACGGGCTTTTCTAGCACAGAACTCAACCAAAATGAACGACTATAAAATGTAGAAACGACCTAGATGCATATTCTAACATTAGATGTATCTACAGTCTCACCTTAGTACAGTGTGGAGGATTGCGGTGATCGAATGAAAAAACTTGCGGTAACAATAATCACGACTATCTCCAACGATTTCAAGCTCTCGAGACAACGTCGTACTTCTCTACTCTCTGAACTCTCAGGAGCCTCACAGAATAAGAATAATGAAGAATGGTGGAGAAATGAGAGCACTACAACTCTCCTTATATAGCTAGAGAAGAGAAGAGTTTCGTGCTTAGCGTCTGTGATTTGCATCGATCGGAAATCATGAGTGGAGGGGCGGATGGATTAAATAAATCCTCTATACTAAAGTTTGATTAATTTATTTCAATTGGGGTACACTTTTTGGCACATCTTTTTCCAAAATAAAATCTAATTGTACCGTTGCAATCCGTCAGTCAAACTCTACACAATATTTTAATTTTCCAAATTAATTAACAAACTTCATAAGCCACTTATTTTTTGTTTCATCTTAGTAATTAATTAATTATAATTAATCAATTGTGATATGCCTATTTTTAGGGCGTTACAATTAGTACGTCCGATGTCCATGAAAATTAGAAGTAGCTTTTAAAAATGCTTCACATATTTGATACATTAGGAAATATTTAATGATTTTTTGTACTCCAAAAATTTGATGCCTTGTAAAATGTAAAAGATTGACATGTCCTTGCTGCAAAATTTAGTATTGGTAAATATATCGTGAATTTATTTCTGTGGAGATATGGACAAATACTCCATATATGTTACACTCTCTAGATAGATAATATTCTACTCCCTCCGTTCTTAAAAACACTTCCCCTTTCAAAATTTTCATTTCCAATAAAACACTTCCTCTTCCATTAAAAATGTCTAAAATGCCCCCTGCCCTAAAGTATTGCCCCTCGGTTCTTTCACTCGTTTCTTTCTCTCTGTCCCATGCTACCCTATCTATTCAGATCACCACCCATTCTCTCCTTCCATGGCCGGCGTTCCATCTTCTCCAGATCCTTCCATGCCCTCGTTTTGCTTGTTAACTGATAGCGATGAGGAAGGTTGTCGCCCTAAGAGAAAGTTTTCCGGTGATTCCTTCATCCCTGATAAGGATGTCCTTCCACCGTTTAATGGTGGTGAAGATGTCCTGCCATCGGACTCATCTGACACTGATCCATCTTGGAACTACCGGAAAAAGTACCTCGGAGGTGACCATCTACCGGATGGAGTTGAGTGGAGCTCAGATCTAGAACGCGAAGAAGGTGAATCTGATGATGAATCAGTTACCACTGAAGAGATTAGAGGAATATAATGACCTCTGATTCAGGAGATCTTCTTTGCTGAACCGCTAGATAGTCCCTCCAAAATCCAGCAATTTCGCCAGAGTAATGTCCTTTAATCTTCAGTCCTCAATATATTCTGTAAATGTCCTTGAATGTTGTCTTTGTTCTTGATTTTATTGGCAAACTAATGATGAAAACCTATTAATTTCCAAAATATAGGAGAATTGCTATAATGTAATGTCACCCCATTTGGTTTGGAGACTTACATGGTCAATTAAGGTGATGTGTTTGGTCAGGCTTGTGGAGTTTAAGCTGGAACTCCATTGTGTAATGTATGAAAGTCCCTAAGTGTATGTACCTATGATGGAACCAAATAATGATTATCCTAGTTTGTCTGAGGCATGATGGAACATGAATGTTCTGGTCCTTGTTTTCTTAGCCATTTAGAATCTCCTTCAGTGTATAATTTCAGTGAGTCCCTAAACACATGCTTGTGATGGAACCAAATGTTTATTCTCCTAGGTTATCTGAGGCATGATGGAACACAAATGTTCTGATCCTGTTAGTCCCTATAAATATGCCTGTGATGGAACTAAATGATTATTCTCCTAGGTTCTCTGAGGCAAGTCCCTGATCTGGGCAAGTCCCTAAGTCTGTGGCTGTGATGGAAATTTATTCTTATGCTCCTATGTTTTCTGAGCCACTTAGACTCTCCTTCTTCTGTGTGCCTGTGATGGAACCAAAGTCTGATTCTGTTATGTTATTTGAGGCCATTAAGAACAAACTTCTTCACTGCCTAATGTGTATGCATGTTATGAGCCATTGAACTTCCAAAAAACCAGATTTTATACTGGATATATATATATACACACACACAAGGAATACATCATTCCTAAAGTTGCATTACAACATTGGCAGAAATGAACATCTGGATTACATTTGCACCAAAAAATAAAAAAGTGTGCAATTGTACACTAGATGTACATTCAAAATACACTGCCTAAACTTAATGACTATTTTGTCCCATAGTTATTGACTTCTGAGAGTTCCACAGCAGCTTCATACACTGCATTACTCACACCTATATTCTTTGGTAGCAATCCTTGTCTGGCTAACCTTTCTTTCCCAATATGAGGTATTTTGAAGTCATTTCCCCCTTTATGCTTCAAGACCTCACCCATTACCAGCTGATAAGTTAAGAAGACATGATTTAGTTTTGTGGGGTGAGTTGCTCAAAAGCTGTTTGAACATTAACAATCAAATCACCCAGTTTCCTTGGTGCAGTTTTCTCCTGAATTGCATCAATAGCCCTAAAGAACCCCAGGTCAAGCACATTCAAATCTGGACTGTTTGGGGGTTGATACTGTAATTGAATATCCCAATCACCTTCCTTGGCAGCACTCACAAATTCTGGGTCATTGATATCAACATGTAGTTTTGTATTGTCATATTGTATGAGTACATGTTTGGTTAAGCCTGGCCATTTTTCCCTTATTGCTGGTAGTAGCTTCTGTACCATCATGTTTCTCATCACATCTCTTGTTATCTTTGGTACTGGCTTGGTTTCCATTGTACCAGCGGGCCTATTTCTGCTACTCCTTTGGGCTGCTTCCTCACATGTGAAAGGAAATATGCCTATTTTGCCATCCCATAATGCTTCACCATCATCCCCAAATCTGGGACGACCTACAGCTGCCAAAAACATTATCTTGAGAATGTGTGTTTTGGACTCCTCATCAGGCAGTTTGTAAAACGTTGTTGTTTCCTTGCTAAAGTAGAACCACTTTTCATCTATATGTATGTAGTTATAGCAGTCATGGAATGTGGGGTTGTTTGGCAGTGATGTAGGAGAAATAAGAGACAAACAATACCTGAGTCGCTTTAGCCTACCCTTTTCACACAGAAAGGGTTTAATGGCATTTGAATGTCTTCTTATTTTCATTTCCTTGAGCCAATTGTGTGCTGTACTCGTCGAGACATTCATGTAATGGCTTATAGCACGTAAAGTCTTTCGTTGGTGAAATGGAATCTCACTCAACTTTGAGAAGTCCACAACCTTAGGCTTCTTTCCTGCATTACCCTGCCACCTGCATTGAACATTTATAGCTTGGCCCCTCACCAATTGACCTTTAGCAGTTCTCCATAGCTCTCCAACCCAACGCCGTGACATGTTAAACTGAGCCGCCACTGCCTTAATAGAGCCTTTCTGAAGTTTGCCGTTGTTGAACTTTTGTAGAATTGCATCAACAATCTTTTTCCTTCTTTCATCTCTTGTTTGTATACCAGTAATACGGTTTGAATGAACTGTTTCAGGGGTGCTGAAAGAAAAAGAAACATCTACAACCGGCGGCAAGGGGACATCGGAGGAATCGAGATCGGAAGCGGAATCAACGTCATGTGTCGGGGAGAACTCAGCTGCCATTAATGGAAAGGAAGAAAAAGTTAAAGATTATTGACTACATTAAGTGCAGGAGAATTTGGGGTAGATGAAGTGTATTTAATGTTAGACTTTCATTGTGTATTTATTGAAGAAGTTTGAGGTCTACATGAAATTGTGTGGAGGGAATTTTAAAATTTTCCCAAACTTAAATTTTGTTGTAATTTCCCTCTAGTTTTTGTGGACATAACGTGTGGTGAGTGCAAATTGGAAAGAAAACACTATTTGTAATCATTGATTGAGTACTATTTGCATTAATTATAAAATCTCCCCATGGTTGCTTCCTTCCATTCCCACGTGCATATAGGAGGGTATAATGGGAAGGTCAAAGTCCAAAATACCACTCCTTAATTTGCCTCCTTTTTCAAAGGGGAAGTGTTTTCCCAAACGGAGGGAGTATAATAAATCATTTGAACATCGCGATAAGATGAATATTGATCATAATTTTATATGCTTACTTTTATTTAATTTTTTTGTTAATATCAATAATGTTATTTAATTTCCACCAATACTCATGTATAATTCAAGTGGAAACATATTTTTCAGATTGCCTAAATGGGTTAATCGATTTATTTTAGTTTGAACATATCATGTTGAATTGCATTCTATTTTGAGAATGTGAAATGAATGGTTTGATCTTATAATTCCATACAGTTACGTTTGAGTTTAATTCAAGTCTTCACTTTTTTGATGCAGTTTGAGTTATAGGTTACGTTAGCTAATGATGTAATACAAATATGATGGCCTTTGATCAATTCAAAATATGATGTAATACAAATATTATTAGATCATAAGAAATAATGTGAGACAGATATATAATTCACCCTTTCTCTAGAGTTACACGCTTTGTTTAATAGTCCACACGAATAAAAATCTATTGATTCCTTCTCTTGCCAAAAAAAGAAAAAAATTGTACACTTTACTTTTCTATTAAGGGTCTATTTCGAAATTAAGAAAGTAACTTTTGAAAATTGAGTTGTTTTCTTGAAGTCATTTTTTTTAATGTTTGGGCTAAAAATATGAAAACTATATACCCAAAAAAAATTACACTCCTTTTCTTCTGTATAAAGGGTCAATTTGGAAATCAAGAAAGTAATTTTTGGAAAATGAGTTACTTTTTTAATGAATATTTTTAAATTTTTTAATTACAAAATTATTTTGAATAGAATAAATTTCAAATTTAGGTACTACTGGTAAATATTATTTTATGCTCTAATATTGATGTAGAAGCAATGTAAATATTACTTCGTCCGTCCCAATTTATAATGCATGTTCACTATTCATACGATCAAATTTCATTCACTTTCTTTCTCTATTTCCATTAGTAATTTGATAAAACAAAGTACTATTGTCACTACTAATTTTGTAGATCTTTTGATGTATTTTAATATGTAATTTTTATTTTTTAATTCTATGCCATTTGTCATATAAAATGATTTGAAAATAATTTCATTCAAACATCATAAATTGAAACAATCACTATAAATTGGGACGGAGGGAGTATCAAAGACTATATAAAAAAGGGAAATGATACTTTACATATTACTCCCTCCGTCCGCCTAAGATGTTCTCATTTTGACTTTTGGTGGTTTTTAAGGAGAGTTGAAAAAAGGTGAAAGTTTACCATAATACCCTTAATGAAAAATGGGTGGAGTGTATTAAATGAGGTGGGTGAGGTGTAATAAATAAAGTAAGTGGGGGTAGTTGTGGTATTTTACTTGTTAAAAAATGAAATGAGAAGATCTATTGTGGACAAAGAAAAAAGGCTATTGGGAAGATCTATGGTGGACAGAGGGAGTACTTTTTTGTTGTTGACACTCCAAAATACAATATTCATGTGAGAGAACTAATAGTACATTTTGGAGTGCCAATGTTAAAAATAAAAGTGCAAATATCATTTCCCATACAAAAAATGTATGAATGTAAAATGGGATTTCATCTATTGACATTCAAAATGGGATTTTGCCATTGGAACTGGAGACAAGCCAACGACAGAACAAGAAATACATGGAAACATTAATACAGTCCTATATTACATGCGGAAATCCTAGGACCAACAATCAATATGGTCTTAGGACACAAGACATGTTGCTGACAAGTGAAACTCTTTTGCAACAATCTATGGTTTCGGACGATTACTTATTATGAACACTTAAATATGAGAGACTAGTGAAATGATAGAGCTATAAAACCAACATGTTATGTCCTTGATTTTCAACATAAAGATGCAAAATCTTCCCTTAGAACAGTTACACTTTAATTGTGCGCCAAAAATATGCGCGCGCACACAAAAAAACATTTAACAATGACAATGAATAATGATCTCAAGCACACGACTTTTCTTACCTCAAATCCGGGTACAAGCTGAGTCAAAATCATCGGGAGCGACCCTAGCAATCCAATTATTAAGAGTCCTCTTGATATCGACATGATTAACGTATGCCAGCTCATACATACTACACAGATTCACCACTACAGTTTCATTCAGTGCTAAGGTGGGCACTCGCTCCAATCCGTTCTCCAACACCTTAATCCCATCCGACAAGTCCCTCAAATACATCAAACAAAGGGCCTTATTGTTTAGGGCCACTATATCCATCCCCCCATCCCTCTCTATGCATTCCTCGTACTGCCTCACTGCAGAACCGTAGTCTTTTCCAAGTATATATATCAATGCCGTGTTCCTGCTCACTAAGTTCTTCATCCTCACATCACCACCCTCTTCACTCTCAACCATGTCTTGTACCGCTTGGAATGTCTTTTTTGCCCCCTCCACATCCCCATACTGCATCTGGACGTACCCGAATTTTGACAATAGGAATGGATCCTTCCCACATTCTCTTTTCCCAATCAGTTCCTTGAGCAGATCCAAACACACCTTGAAATCTTTCTGACTCAAATGGTAGCTGATTATCGTGTTCATCACAAAACACTCACGCTTTCTCCACAAACCTTCCGACACTTTCGATCTTGGCTTTGTTTCGGGGTTAGGGTTTAGCTTTTTGGAACGAATGAAATCGAGGAGGGAATAGAGGCGGTCGAGGGCTTGCTGGCGCTGGCCGAGTGAGGAGGGAAGATGGGCGTGGATCCAACGGAGGGCAAAGGGGACCATGGAGCCAGTTGATTTGGGATAGTGGTTAGGGTAAGTTTCGTATAAGTATTGTGAGCTCTCAAAGTCGTCGCCTTCGAGAACGGTGGAGAACTCGTTGCTTGCGTCAGAGAAGCGGCGGAGCTTAGTGAGAGCAAGGACATTGAAGGTTAGGTACACGAGGTGCTCGTGGGGCTTCGTGAGGAGAGAAAGAGAACGGGCATGCCCAACTTTATCCAGGATCGACCGCCACGCCCCTCGGCAAGCCAGATCCTGCAGGGTGGAGAGATCATGACAATGATCGTTCAGCGAGCCATAGGGATTGTTGAGCGGGTCATCGATGGTACTAACAGCTACTGTATCTGTGGGGTTTGGTGAGGCTTTATCTGGATCCACGTCCATAAAGTCGGCTGAACTTTGTTTTTTGTCTTCAGTTTATGGTGAATGTGACAAAACTATAGAAGATCTGGTTAATAAAATAGAGATTAAAAAAACAGTTAAATACACTACCCAGCCAAATAACTCAAAAATAAAAGTATACTTACAGTCACCAAGTTCTGGACAAAATGAAAAGTAGTACAATTTTATGGTCTACACTGAATTTGTAAAATGATTTTGAACAACAAAAATATCAACCAAAATGGCCAAATATAGTTTGACAATTCCTTTTGGAACTTAACAATACTGAAAAATGGAACCAGTTTATGTACTGTCGGTGGGTATCATATACTTATATAAACCTTAAAGAAAAACTGCAATGTGGTCTTTCACATTTACTCTAAATCTAAGCAGGGCCAGGATATTCAACGTGTGTGATCCCATGTCTAGAAACACAGGACTTAAATCCATGGGTCAATTTATGAGTACTATACAAAATTAATAATTACTCGTTCAATGTAAAGTAGTAACCAGTTTCACTTGATTTATTTTATTAATGACTTGGTTACTTTTATAATAGCATTGCATCCTAAATTACAATGAATAAATCCCATAATACAACAACAACATTATCCCAGTGCCTCAACGGCTCCCGCCCATTGCGGGGTAAGGGGGGTTGGATGTACGCAGTCAAACCCCTATGTTTAAAACATAGAGCGGCTGTTTCCAAATGACCCATGATGAGCGTCGAAAGTTTCCTTGACTAACTGCTACTTCACAATTACAAGAAGCGCAGACAATTTAAAGAGTCAATTTGCTTTATTCCATCATACCATAATAATTTTAAATAGACAAATAGTCACTCAAATGCTCAAATAGAATGAAATCAATGAATTCTCGGAACAGACTTTTTTATTCACAATTCACTAACATATAATCAAATAAGCTAAAATCATAAACTTGAAAAGAATAAATTTTCCAATTACTAACCTGGAGATAAGATGAATGAAGGTGGATATTGTAGATGTGTTTTCATGCGAATCTTCAATGTTTTAAGTTTAAACATGAATACCAGCAAGTGTATAGTTTGTTTAAGTTAAGTATAAGCAAAGTATACAAGTGTTGAATCTCACATGTAAGTATAGAACATAGATAACTTTGCAATTAAGTTTGCAATAAACACAACGAAGAAAGAAAAATAGACTACTCTAAAGAAATAAACATCAAATAATAGAATGAACTCATGAATAGACAAAATAATTAATGAACCAAAAGTGAACTAAATAGATGAGTGATGAAGGATTTAGAACTATAACATTTGTGGCAAATGAAAGATTTAGAAAGTAAATACTTTTTTGACACAAATAGAAGACTATACAACTTAAAAAAACTGAAAAGTAGAAAGACACTGAGTAATAGAACTTTGTTCCACAAACAAAATATATTGCCCTTCATATCATATATGCTGGGCATATTGGGTGGGGCGGGTGGGCCATTATGGTGGTTGTTTGTAAGGCCCAATATACCATCTCATGGCATTTTGGGAATAATGTAGCCATAGTCACACAGAATCCAGACATGAGATGGGGTTGAGGCCCACAATGAAATGGGCGGGTGAATCCCGACCCGGAAGTGGAGTGACTGACACATAGTCCTTGGATGTAACCGTCGGCTGGGTCAAGGATGCATAAGGGACCAAGTCAAGGCAATCATGATTCCATCACTCCCATAAAGGTAGGCATTATGGTGAGTGGGGGATTGAGGTAACTGGCATGGGACTATAGGTACTTCCCCTCCATAAATAAATATTTTACATTCAACCGACTTAATTTTAAGCATTCTATTGCTTTTGCTCATTAATTCATATATACAACCGTGTGAGACTATGAGTGATATTCAGAACTAGACCTCAACAATGATACGCAATTCCGGTGGATTAAAATCTATCAATATGCAAAACAACAAATTAAAACAAAAGCTCCCAATTTAATTCAAACGGCCATTACCTTACGTTAAATAATCATCACAACCCTAGACACAAAATTAACAATGGACCAAACAATCTGACGCAATAACACAATATAAAAAAATTTGAATTTAGTTGTGTTAAATTGATTGAAACAATCCTCAATAAATAGAGATGAAATGATCCACCAAAAAAACACAAATTAAAAAGCTTATTTATAATATTGCAATAAAATATGAAGTATTTATTTAGTTACCTTGATATAATAGAACAAGATGAAGGCAAACTGAGTTAGGATTTGCGGTGACAGATTTGGAAATTGGAAAAGAGCTCGCTGGTTGCCGCCGGAATCAATGGAGCAGGCGTAGATCCTAAAAACGTCACTGCTTTTTCAGATTCACCTTCTCTGGTCTGCGACGTTGCATTCTACTTTTGGAGAAAGAAAACTAGTATCACACACGTGGTTTGCACGGGTCATGGGTCATTTTGATGTTATTAAATTGAAATCATTTTTCAACGATAAAAATGAGATACAATAGAATATAGAGATTATATTATTTTAAGGTACAAAACATCACTGCTTTACAAATTTCGAAAGACTTCTTTATAGACTACATTATTTGTACAATTTGTGGAAATATTGTTTTCATTGCATATCAGAATCTTCAACTCACTACGATTAATTATTATTCTTGAAACTGCAACATAGAGTTGTCCATGACTAAAACATGTTGAATTATTATTACAGAAACCTGTGATAAACCATAGCTGCTCGTAGCTTCATCATTAACTGTTCGTAGGTTCATCATGAATGTAATGGATGTGGAAGCTTTGTAAATGAATGTATTTATAATACAGAGTATGATTTTTGCATACGGGGTCAAAAAAATTATTCATTTTTCAAAGTGCTATAATGAATTTAAATTACTAGTACTATATTTAAATTATTTAATTTATTATATTTAAAATTACTATAATTAAAATGACAAGGTAATTAATACGGAGTATACAACTATCTAGTCACGCAGTTATATAATTAATATCTTGGTTAACTATTACCTTTTTTGATTAAAATTACTATAATTAAAATATAGTAAAATGTAGCCATTATAAAATATAGCCACTATAACTAAAATATAGTTATTATACAATTACTATTATAAAATTACTGTAATTAAAATTACTATAACTAATTTGACACGGTAATTTATATACAATTATGTAGTCACACGTAATATTAGATTTCATTAATAGTGTAATATACAATTTTAATTAAAAATACTATAATTGAAATTACTATAATTAATTTGACATAGTAATTAACATTTGATTACTATAATTAATTTGACACGGTAATCACACGTATTGCTATAATTAATTTGACACGGTAATCACACGTAACATACAATTTTACTTAAAAGTACTTTAATTAAAATCACATGTAAGATTCCAATTTTAATAAAAACTTACACTTTCTAATTTTATAACTTACCTTTCTTGCTAGTATAATTTCGGATACTTTAAAAATCACAGTTAATTATTATAAAAAAATTATATTAACTTCACAATTACCATTTTATATTACTATAATTTCGGACACTTACCCTTTTGGCTTCACAATTTCCATATTGAATGGACATACTTCGTGCACGGGTTAAAAATAGACACTATAATTTCAGACACTTACCATGTACATAGGTAATAATTGCACGGAGTAATAATTATTACATTTTTTGGTTATTACCTTTCTTGCTTTTAAATATATATATATATATATATATATATATATATATATATATATATATATATAAAGGGTTTTACCGTATTAATTTTTTTCGAAACGGTGGGTATAATTATTCTTACCATAATTATTTTCTACTATAATCATACACATGTTTTTTATATAACCTAGTCATATCGTAATCATATAATTATATAATTATGGTAAGGATAATCATACACACGTTTTTAATAGCATTGTTTGGCGTGTATTAAAGTTTATAAATATTTTTTATAAATAATTTTTTCCTATTAATAATAATCAGTCATAATGAATTACTTTTTTTTTATTTAATTCGTAATTACGTCGGTCTACATTATTACCATTTTTAATAATAATCAGTCTTATTAAATATAATACTTTTAAATTTTTATCATTAAAGGAGAAAACTTAAGACTGAAATTACTATTTTTAAAGTAAGGAAATAAAAATTCTGAAATTACCTTTTTTATTTAATACGTAATTACGTCGGTCTACATTATTACCATTTTTAATAATAATGAGTCTTATTAAATATAATACTTTTAAATTTTTATCATTTAAGGAGAAAAATTTTAAAAATGTTAATTTCCGGAATTTTATTTCCTTACTTTAAAAATAGTAATTTTAAATAATTATGAGAGTTAATTATTATAAATATAATATAATAATTATACTCATAGAACGTAAATTTTATATTACTATAATTTCCGACACTTACTATTTTAACTTCACATTACCATATGTAATGACCATTGTCTTTGAGCGGGAAAAACGCAATATTGACTCCATGTCTTTTTAAATAAAGTATGGATTAAGAGCATTCACAATGCAAGGCCTTCTCTTGTCTAGTCATGTCAGTATATACCACCCAAATTATGATATTCTATAATTCTCTCATTTTTTATTTTTTTAATATTTTTAATTTTTTTAATGTATAAAAAGAAACATTTTTAAAAAGAAGTAGACATATTTTAATAATAAAATAGATGTGTAAAATAATTTTTTATAATTAAAAATCATTAAAAAGTACAAAAATAGACAAAAACAATGACTTGTCATGTCAAGTAGACATATTTTAAGATATTCCATTCACTTGACACACGGTGACTGAGTTATTTTTTATTGATTGAAATATTTCATGTCACCAGACACTCCTTCCTGAAAATCAATTCTTCGATAAAAGATATTCTTCAGCAAACCAAGAAGTTTGTCCAAAGTATAAAAAACAATTCCGTAACTGGGCAAGATTGGCAAGAAAGATATGTTGCAAGTAAATTTTCTGCTGCTGCAAAATCAAAACAATTAGCAGCAATTTAATAGGCCAATTTGTTAAGCAAAATTGTCAAACAAGATCCTGCGATACTTATGGCAGTATGGAGGCAACGACGAAGCAAGTAACCCTTGCAAAGCAAAATTGTTAAACAAGTTGTGGCAATTATGGTTCAAAACCGAATTGAATCAGGCAGCAACTCCAAAAAAATTTGCAGATACTCTATTCTTTGTGCACTGTGTTCAAATTAGTGGCAAAACTCCAATTTCTCTCAAAGGAATGATGAGAGAGGCAGCAGCTGAAGAAAGATTACAACAAGCAAGATATGGCCGACGGTCAAGTGGCAAAGATGGTGGAGATAACCTATATGGCAGCGGCGGCCAATCTGTGGCTTTTTTGGGTGGCAGCCGGGCGGTGATATGAGATGAGACCATAATCTCAGCATCTATCTTTTTTGGGTAGTTCAAATCAATGAGAGAACCTATCATACTAACTTGTATCGGATAGGGAGACTTAGAGCATCTTCAAGCTCTCTTAAAAATATGGAACAAGGAAGAAGAAGAAGATTTGAGAAGAGAATCGGCAAACTGAGAGAGGAGAATGGAATAGAGTTTGTAATTCGTTTATTGATTGATTGTTCTAAAGGAGTTACATATCTATTTATAGGAGACAAGGAAACCCGAGCTAACCCTAATCAAAATAGAAAGTATAACCACAGTTCAATAAAATCGATGAGGAAAAGAACCGTAAAAAAACCTCGAAGAAGCTTATAATTTTGCTCACCTAATAAAACCTAAATTCCAATAAGAACAACAACAACAACAACAACAATAATAATAAATATCCTACTCTACTATCCATAACACCCAATGCTTGCTTGCACCTAAAGTCCTAAACCACACGACCCGATGGACCATCATTATTATTAAGTTATACTCCCTCCGTTCCAAATTATAATGTCTGTTTACTATTCACAGGGTCAAACTTCATTCAATTTCTTTCTCTATTTTTGTTAGCAATTTGATAAAATAAAATATTATTGTCACTACTAGTTTTGTAGATCTTTTGATGTAGTTTTTTAATATGTAATTTTTATTTTTTAATTATATACCATTTGTCATATAAAATGGTTTGAAAATAATTTCAGTCAAACATCGTAAACCGAAACAGGCGTTATAAAATGGGACGAAGGTAGTACATTATTAGATTACTAGAACTAATTTCATTTTAAAATTCAAAATGTTTTAGCCTTTTTTACCAAGTGGAGAATGACAAAGATTAATAGGCTAGGGACTTACAATTTTTTTATGGGGGCATTAATGTTATTTTTCTGACAAAACAACAACAATAATAATTATAATGATAGTAATCATTATCATTAATAATTAATATTTAATAATAGTAGTAGTAAATAATAATACTAATAATACTAATAATAATAATAAAATAACAATAATAAGAATAAGAACAACAATAATAATCATAATAATAAGAATAATAATAGTAATAATCATAATGATGCTGATAATATTATTAATAATAATACTAATAATAATAATAACAACAATAATGATAATGATAATAACAATAACAATAACAACAACAACAACAATAATAATAAAAGAATAAAAGGGGTCGAGTGGGGGTTTGAGGAGGAGGAGGAGAAGAAGAAAAAAAAGGAGGATGGGAGACCTGTGAGTTGTTACCATAAAATTAGATTACGCATCAGTGATTTTTTGATGACGAATTGATGATGAGGATGAAGGTAATGGACCAAGTGGGTATACTCGAGAGATAGACGAGAAGTCCATCTAGAGTGAATTTTTGAATATTTTAAGGTACCCACAAAACGGTCGTAAGACCTAAGAGTTCTTAGTCAAAATTTGGAAGTACCAACAACAATTTTTTGTTAGAGTTACTTCAAATCTGAATAAATTTAAGTTTATTTAAGAATTGCATCCAGTAACATTGGATTCCGGTCAACCCAACAAATTATTAATTTTATCTTTGGAATACTTAAATTTATGACTACTAGTAATTAAATGTTCTATTTAAGATACAATAATGTATAGAAATATGAGTAGCACTCCTTTTGTGACCTAAATAGAAATATTTCTACTTCACACGTACTCCCACATCATATTACCACTAGAGCATTTTCACTAGTCCCCGGTGCATTGTCGTGAGGTCCCTAGAGCGTCGATGTGGGTCATTAGAGCACCGTCGTGGGTGGGCGGAGTGCCGGAATTCACATTGTGATATTTTTATTATACTACCATTATTCACACTGTCAAATTTCTTTTTAGAAAATAAAAACAATGTCACTTCTATTTTGATATTTTGATGACATTTTACCCCTATCAAAAGATATATCTTTAGAGGTAAAGAGAAATTATTTTTGGGACGGATTAAAAACGAAAAAAGAAAATTTTTTGGGAAGGAGGATATATTTCAAAAGAGTACAAGATTAGTTCTAGTATGATCCCAATGCAGTCTTTTGAAAATAGACTATCTAATTCAAGATTGATTTAGTCGTTCATTTAATTTCAACTCATTTTAAAAGTTGAATAAAACAATTCGAGTAATATTTAATATCATTTATGATAGAACTTGTGTTTTAATCCGTTTTTATCATTAGTTCTTAATCCTAGTCCTAATTAGGGGTGGACACGGTACGGTTCCGGTTCCGGAACCGCCGGTTCCGGTACCTCCACCCCATGTAACCGGAACCGTCACCGTGCCGGCCGGTATCGGTTCCGGTTCCCGGACCGGCGGTTCCGGTACCGGACCGGCCGGGTTCGGCCCCCCTTCTATATATTTTTTTGCTTTTTTTAAAAATTTTTAAAGTATAAAATTGTAAATTTGTAATTGTTTAAGGAAAGAATGAAATAAAAAATCTAAAAATATAGTTGTTATTTAAATATTGAAAATGAGTAATACACTAACTAAAGAACAACCACATTTAATATCCTGACTGACGGTTCAAAAAAAGCGACGAGGTAAAGAACCGTAAAAAAACCCTCGAAGGAGCTTATATATCAATCACCTAAAAAAACTAATTACATATTTACATTAACATAAAAAAAATTTATAACTTATTCTTCAGAACTCGGACTTCCATCTGTGGTTGCATTCATGTAATGCTCCGATTCGAGTTGGTACGATGACTCTTGAGCCCGATGTCTTGCCAAGAGCCAATCTTGGTTGCAAACCAGTGTTTCAAGAGATTCAGCGTTAAGACAACTTCGGTAGTCGATTAGAATGTTGCCGCCAGCACTGAATTCTCGTTCAACTGCTACGGTTGATACCGGGACGGACAACACTTGTCTTGCTAGCATGCCGAGACATGGGAACATGTGTTCGTTCTGCTTCCACCATCCGAGCACGTCAAAATCGACGTCGTCGTCATCGTAATCGCATGGCACACTCTGGTACATAGCAAGTTCGTTGTGCGAGCTTACTGTTGTACCACTTGAACTCGTCGAAGACTGGGCACGCTTCCCTTTCTTTGCAACAAGGCCACCGACTATGCCGGCAAAACCTTTTTTTGATTTCGGGGGCCGAGGTGGTGCTGTTTCTTCTTGTACTTGAGGGTTTAATGCCTGTTGACAATAATCAATAAAACCTCATTTTTCAGAAAACATGTATGGCAAATTTTCTTCACAAATCATTTCGGCCATTTTTTGCTTATTTTGCTCGTCGCTATAAGCAAAAAGGCCGCCCTTACCTGTAACATCCCAAAATAGGGCCTAAAAAAATTCATTATATGATTAGTCAACTTAAATGATTCAATTTGATAATTTAGAAATAATTTTTTTAAAAACCATTAGTTTAAAATTTTAAGAAGTAATTATATTGTTAGAATAAATTTTTAGAAGTACCAATTGATGTAGGAACCAATTTGATTAAAATTATGTGTAAAGTTGTTAATTGGACAATTCACGTAATTATGATATTAGTAAACACAAAACCCAATTATGTCAATAGAATTGAAGTAGTAGAAAGGGAAATAGGATGGGGTAGTTTGGTGTTCACCCGTGTTCAATTACCATCTCAGGCGAGGCATGAGTATTTTTTTTTCTCTCCTTAAAAAAAAAAACTCAGTACTCCGTATTACAGAAGAAAAAAAACAGCAGCAACCATCATTTCGAAAATTTAAGATTTATTCCCAAATACTCTACTCATTTTATTTTTTTTGACTCTTTAGGAATCTATGTCTAAGCTATTTTGGATTCTCTTTAGTTACTTAAAGACATTAAATTACTCCATATCAACCCAAACATCATCAAATATTCTTAAAATATTTTTAATGGATTTTGATGACATATTGAAGAGTTTTACACTTCTCTTGATTTTTTTTGATATGTGTCTGATTTTATGATGTTAGAATCCTCCAAAAATAATCTAAATTATCATGATCAAGTTGAGGTAATCTTTATTGGTTGTTTCTACAAGTTTTCACCTATAAATACCACCCAAACTCATTCATTTTTCTCCATTCTCTCTTCTTAAAATTGCAGCAACTTTTCTCTTCTTTATACTCTATATATCCATAAAAATATTTAGTTATTTTACTCCCAATACACTACCAAACCTTTCCCAAAAGACTAGAAGAAGTTAGAGCCAACAAGAGTTCGTTTAGAGCCCATTTAAGGTAAGAAAACTCTCCCGAAAATCCTGCATTTTTTTTTTGTGTTCTTCAAGTTATTGAGACACTTTTTGCTATTTTTTTTGTTCTTCAGTAAAGCTCCATAACACCTCTAAAGTCTCGGTTCCTTACTAGTCTTCAACAAGTCCGTTTCACTTTCTCTCTCGAACTCAAGGTATGTACAAAATCATATTGCACGGACTTCCCGTTCAACTATTATATTTGTAAAAATCTTTTAAAACAAAACACTCTTTATATGATTCAAAGTTATTTTAAAAAAATATACAAAGTAGTATTTTACTTTCAAATTAATATTTTATACACTTTTAAAAGTGATTTATTATAAAATATTGATTTATAAAAATGATTTGATATATAGGAAATAATATTCAAACTTTTATATTATCATAAGTTTAAACAACTTGAGATCATCGTAAACTTGTATTTCGGAGCAACGGTAGGAGACCCCTATCACCGCTCATCGTATACGTATACAGAACCATCGGCCAAGGTTGCGAGAATGATGCCCAAAAGGCATTATTTCTCAGGGCTACATTCGGAGACCCTGGGTGTATGTCGTTAAATTGAATATTTCGTATCTCAGTGGTTTGATAAAATCTTTTATAAAGTTTTTATCTAACTTATATCTATGCAGTTTCATATATGTGTTTATTTATTTGCTTGAATAAAAAGTTTGTATTTTATTTTATGACGTTATGTTCACAAACATATTGTGTATTAAACTCGTTTCCGCTGTTTTTAATAAACATTTATATGATGTTTTTATAAGAAATTAGTATATTTCCTCTTAACTCTCTAATTTGGAATAGTCCACGACATTGTTCAAGTTAGGGTGTTACATTTTGGTATCAGAGCAAAAGTTTTTAAAATGATCTTCTGACCTGATATTCTAATAAATATAACTATGTTAAAAAAAATCATATTTACAATTTTTTTTATGTGTATATATTAGCACTCTCAAAAAAAAATCTACTTTAGTGACAAACAATTTTGAATGGTATATTTACATACACATAAGTATGCATGTTTTAAAAAAAAAAGTAGGAGCAGATTTTAGAGTAAAATCATTTCTATGATTCGTTTAAAAAAATACAAATGTATTTTACTCTTTTATTTAATGTAAAAAAATAGCATTTTTAAGGCCTTGTTTTTCTGGAATATTGTTTCTTTAAAAAAAATATTATTTGTTTAACACCTTATTGATAGATGACTTTTTAAAACATTGTGTTCAAAAGTTTTAAAACGGTCTTTTAATTTGCTATTTTGATACATAGGAGTATAAAAAAATCAAACTTGCCAAAGTTTTATTTTTTTTATATATGTATACATATTAGCGTTTTTACTTCAAAAAAAAAGTACAAATATGAATTTTTCTTTTTACTTGCAGTATAAAAAAAAATTTAAATTTTTTTTTCCCTTAAGAACTTGTTACTAAAACAAAAATAGAGTAAGTTTTATTTCTACTTACTATTAAAAGAAATGGATGACAAATATGTTTTCCTTTTTGTTTTGACTTACAAAAAGTTAAAAAAAAAAGAGTAACATTTGTTTTTGGCATAATATTTTTTTAAAAAATTGATTATTTATTTAATTGTTTTATCGTATGCTATAAAACAATTTACTTTAAAATTTGGTGATCAAAAGTTTACAAACATTTTTGTACTTTTTTTTTTAAAAAAAATATAGTGAAACGAAGAATAGCCATGTTCCACTCCACGACGTCCGCTCACATCGATCAAGGAAAATTTTGAGGTAAGAAGATAGTTAGTAATTTCATAACTCTTGGTTTATCTTAGAATGGAAGCTTTGAACAACCAACCTCATGTGTCCGGAGATTCCGAGGCATCAAACATTGGAAACTTTGTTGGTGGAAACCCAGGAAATAATAATAACAATCTCAACGCTAACAATGAGAATATCGTTGGAAATAACGTAATCAATCAAGTGGCGGGATTTCTCCACCAACTTGCTACACAAGTCCGTCCAGAAGGCTGGAATTTAGATCGTCTCAAGAAGAATGGTGCTTGGGTATACAAGGGAGGAGAATCGGGACCTCCAGAAGTCGTAGAGCACTGGATCGAACAGACAAAACGTGTTTTTGAAGATAACCTCATTATAGAAGGAGAATGGGCCCGACTGACGATATCTCTACTGCAAAATGAAGCATATGATTGGTGGAAAGTCGAAAAGACCAAAGAAGGACTGCCCGAACCCCTAACTTGGGTAGCATTTGAGAAAGCTTTCTCTGATCATTTCATACCTCCTTACTATCGTGACGCAAAAAGAAAAGAATTTCAAAATCTGAAACGTAAAGGGATGTCCGTGGAAGCTTACAAAACAAAATTTGTTAAGCTATCTAATTATGCTAAGGATTTAATCACTGATGAGGAGAAACGATGTGAGTTCTTCATCGACGGACTAGATGAGGAATTCCAAAGGAGTCTCAACGGGACCGTACATCGGAACTTCAATGAGCTCATCAAAGCAACCATGCGTATTGATGCGATCGGAAAGAAAACCTTTGATCAAGGGGAAGCATCATCAAAGAAGAACAACTCCAACACAAAGAATGTTGGTTGGGGAAAATATGGTCAAGCCCCCAAACAACAACAATACTACAACAATAAGCAAAAGAAGACGGAAACTCTGGTTGAAAGGCCTAAATGCCCTACCTGTAATCGTCGCCACAATGGGGAATGTTGGTTTCTAACTGGAGCATGTATGCGTTGTGGGCAGAAAGGTCACATCTCAAAGAACTGTCCTAAACATACTGACAAGACGGAAGCACCGATTCAAAATAATAACAACAATCGCCCACCTCCAAGACAAGCTCCACCAGTGCAAGGAAACAATGGCAACAACAACAATCGAGTTCCGGCAAGAACATATGCAATGCAAGGGAGGGAAGATCAACAGAACCGTAATGTTATTATCGGTATGTTCACTATATTCGATAATGACCTATGCACTTTAGTTGATCCTGGATCTACACATTCTTATATTTGTGTGAATCAACCTTTTACGAAGATGTTGAACAAAAGTCAGCTAGATAATCCGATACTAGTCTCAAACCCCTTATGACACAGTATAACCCTAAGAGAGGTATATCACAATTGCCCACTAACAGTAAAAGGGAAAACCTTTCACGCGGACTTAATTGAACTTCCATACAAAGAATTTGATTTGATTCTTGGGATGGATTGGCTCTCAAATCACAAAGCTATTGTGGATTGTCATAATAAAGTATTGACGCTCCAAACTGAGGATGGCTTGATTGTAACCATCAAGGGAGAGCTCATCCCGCAAGCACCTCAGTTCATATCCTTAATGCAAGCCAAACGCTTAATACGAAAGAAATGTGAAGCATACTTATGCCATGTAAAAGATATGCGGGCGTTAGATCCACAAATACAGAAGATTCCAATTGTCAATGAATTTCCCGACATCTTTCCCGATGAACTTCCAGGTTTACCTCCACCTCGTGAAGTTGAACTTTCCATCGACCTCGCACCTGGAACCATGCCGGTATCAATCACCCCTTACCGTATGGCTCTAGCAGAAATGAAGGAGTTAAAGGCTCAACTTCAAGAACTATTGGACAAGGGATTCATTAGGCCAAGTGTATCACCCTGGGGAGCACCTGTCTTATTTGTTAAAAAGAAACATAGCTCATTGCGATTATGTGTGGATTACCGACAACTCAACAAGTTAACTATTAAGAATCGGTACCCATTACCACGAATTGATGACTTGTTTGATCAGCTACGTGGAGCAAGTGTCTTCTCAAAGATTGATTTAAGGTCTGGATATCATCAACTTCCCGTTAAAGTTGATGACATTCCAAAAACTGCCTTCAGGACTCGTTATGGACATTATGAGTTTACGGTGATGCCTTTTGGATTAACCAATGCACCGGCAGCTTTCATGGATCTAATGAACCGAATATTTCGTCCCTACCTAGATCAATTTGTTGTTGTCTTCATCGACGACATATTGGTCTACTCAAAAACTGCTAAAGAGCATGAAAAACACCTTAAGATTGTATTCCAGATTCTAAGGGAAAATCAATTATATGCCAAGTTATCCAAGTGCGAATTTTGGTTGAAAGAAGTGGTTTTTCTTGGACATATTATCTCAGATGAAGGAATTCATGTAGATCCAACAAAGATTGTGTAACGCCACGAAACATGGCCTAAATTTTATAAAACAAAAGTAGTTTTGAATATTTTTGTCCAATAAGAAACATTTATATGTTTGACTAAAAATAAATGGATTTTAAAAATAATGACTTTTTATTAAAAACTTACTTTTATGGATATGTCTCGAAGAGACGAATCCAACGGTACATTTTAAGAACCAATCTGATTTATAGATTTCAAGTTATGTCAATTTTAAGTATTAAAATTTGTAACTTTGACCCATAAAATAAACTCAATTCAAAAGTGATTTTATAAGATTAGAAATCATAATTTTGACACTTGACAACACCATATTTATCATTTGGATTTAATCCATATATTTTTATCTCATTCATATTATAAAATTAATTTATGACAGACAGACCCAGACATTAAGAAAAATAAAAGTTATCATAAAAATATTTTGATTACGTCAAAATTCTAGTTTTGACAGTCTCATTCCAAAAACACAATTCGTTTTCAATTCGGGGCAGTTTGGGTGAAAAAGCGCGTACCGTTTGGAGTAAACTGTTCAGTTTTGGCTAAAAGCCAAAACTTAATTCTCAAATATCTCCCCAAATCACGTAGCCAACCAAGGGATATCTCACAAACCTATTTTTCAATCTCCTCCAACTCCATTAACACAAGCCTCCAAAATAATCATATAATACTCCACCACCATCTTCATCATTATACCTCATTATCATCTTCCACCACCATCATCATCATCATCTCATCTTTCCTCTCCCATTTCCTCTCTCTGTCGGTAGTCCAAGAAGGAGGAAAAACCAGCTCTAACTTCATTGTGGAGCCAAGAAAGGAGAAGGAGAAACAAGAAGAAGTATCAAGGTTTCCAAATCTTAAGCTCAAAAACGCAGCAGCCACTTTAAGGTAAGAACTGAAATTTTCAATCCATTATCTCGAAATACTTCTTGAACCAAAGTTGTAGCCCCGGACGATATGAATCCAGCCCAACAAACGGCTCGCGATTTCGTTAAGTAACGAAGAAGATATGGCCAAAATACCGGGACTGCGCCAGTGGTGGCGAGCTCCTCGGGTTGGCATGTGTTTCTTCACCAAATTCATATTATTTCATTCCAAATACTTACCATAAACTCTCTAACAATTATTAGGAATATCCGGAAGGTATCGTAGAGAAGGTTCGGCATTGGAATGTTGAAATTAGTGAGTTAATCGTCGGAATCGTGTTCATCGACATATTCAAAATTCTGGACAGCAACTTTCCCTTGACTTCAGGTCCGATTTACGCTATCTTACATATGTTAACTCGAAATACTTTCTATACGAAAGTTATAGCCTTACATCTTAGGAATCCACAGAATCAAGCGGTTTGCAATTCCGTAAAGAAACGATGGAGATATGCCCAAAATACCGCAGGCTGTCCAGTTGTGACGGAAATGACAAAGTTGGCGAATTTCGATGTTGTTTCCACTCCCGCTCATCCGTAAGGTTTCGGCCTATGATTTCCAGGTCTGTACCCTTGCGTTAGACTTGTCGAATCATTCATTACATACGTACATGAACATATATATTAATCCATATGTTGAAACCATCCCAAAATATATATGTGATGCATATATAAGTCATCTATATGTTGAGATCAAAATACACCAATCCATAAAGTTAATATACACATAAGTAAATATAAACTTTGGAAATCAACCCAACAATATGTATAGATTAATAAAAGGTGTTTAAAAGACTTAAAGAAGTATTTTGGACACTCAAAATATCAAGAGAAAGATTCGCAGACCCAAACGGTTGACACAAATGGTCGACCGTCATATTAAACTTTGAAACGGACCACTACTGTCAGCAAAACGGTCGACCGCCGTCGGTGAACGGTCGACCGTCGCCAGCCCAGCAGACTGTCGCCAGCCCAGCAGAACGCCGTCGTTCCAACAAGTCAACAACGGTCGACCGCCGGTCAACCACGGTCGACCGTCACGGTGATCCATAAATCCGACGAGTTGAAATATAGCACGGTCGACCGCCGTGCTAAACGGTCCACCGTTCCGAGCCCCATAGCTTAATTAAATGATATTTTTATCAGATTTCACCCAAATAAAATAAAGTATATTTATCCATTCATATTGTTTACAAATTGTTAATATCATATGACTCATATCATCACACATATTGTAGCATATCATATCATATGCATGCGTAAGAGATCATGCGTAATTGCGTCTCTTATAGCGTGATGTGCGGGACTTAGCAGTCCGACATCACCTGTTCCGGGCTTAGTGTACGTACATGGTATTCAGGTTTCGAGTACCACCCTTATTTTTCTAGTCTCTCCTCATTCGTGAGACTAAGGCCGCGTGAGTTCGTCGTACCAAATGGGTGAATCTCATAGCGCAAGGGTGTCCTTGCAAGTTATAGGATCATGCATCATGTTACCATTATCAAGTACAATTACATTGATTACATAGGTGTCATATAATCATCATCAAGAAAAAGTATATTGATTACATTGGTATCATGTAATCATCCTCACAAGCAAATTGATTAAATGTGCCATCATGTAATTATCATTAAATATTTATCATCATGATTCATCAAATTGACCATATGATAATATGTGTCATATCATGAATGTTACTATACATTTTGTGGACGTAGATATATGTATATGTATATGTCTGTGAATCATTCTACAATTCTAGCGTGGTACCACTCAGCGGTTTCGCTGAGCGTGTAGTTTGTATTTTTCGTTGACTACACGTAGGTAACAAGAAGACAATGATGGAACCATTCCCGGAGAGCATTGAGTCAGAGGAGATGCAAGGATGGCAGACAAATGTTTGATCATCAGATTTTAAAATGTGTCATGATTTGATTATTATTGTACTTTCGCATTACTCTGAAAATATTTTTAAATGGGTCGCGATCTAGAGTGTGTAAATTTAATATTTATAAGTAATTGTCATTTTCGAATGTCAAGCGAAATTTTTATTTAACTCTCGTTTCATCTTAATTCGTGTAATTCCGGGTTATACGAATTGGGGTGTTACAGATTGTTGCAATTACTGAATGGAAAGCTCCGCGTAATGTTCGAGAAGTAAGAAGTTTTCTTGGTTTAGCAGGTTACTATCAAAGGTTTGTCCCTGGCTTTTCAATAAGGGCATCGCCCTTGCACAAGTTGTTGAAGAAAAACCAAAGGTTCCAGTGGACAGAATCATGTCAGAAAAGTTTCGAGGAACTAAAGATTGCACTCACACAAGCTCCAGTTTTAGTTCTTCCTAAGCCTGAAAAGGACTATGTCGTTTATAGTGACGCATCTCATAATGGACTGGGTTGTGTGTTAATGCAAAAAGGGAAGGTAATAGCTTATGCTTCAAGGCAATTAAAAGAACATGAAAAGAATTATCCCACACATGATTTGGAACTAGCCACAGTAGTTTTGGCGTTAAAAATTTGGCGTCACTATCTATACGGCGAAAAGACATACATCTACACTGATCATAAAAGCCTAAAATACCTTCTCACACAAAAAGAACTCAATTTGAGACAACGAAGGTGGTTGGAATTAATCAAAGACTATGATTAATTCATTGATTATCACCCCGGCAAGGCTAATGTCGTGGCTGATGCCTTAAGCAGAAAGACATTGGCTGAACTTCATATTCAACCAACATTAGAAACCGAAATCATTACAAGGCAAACTCAAGATCAATTTTGCAAAGATACAACTGAGCTTGTTTCTAATGGCGAGAAACAAGAGTTCTCTATTCAATTGAACGGAGGACTATATTATCGATCAAGATTAGTTGTACCCGAAGGTGACATTCGGACTAAAATCATGCAAGAAGCACACAATACTACTTACACTATGCATCCTGGTAGTACAAAAATGTACCAAGACTTGAAACAACAGTACTGGTGGCAAGGCATGAAGCGTGACATCATAGAGTATACAACGAGATGTTTAACTTGTCAACAAGTTAAGGCCGAACATCAAGTTCCATCAGGATTACTACAACCTATCACTATTCTTGAATGGAAATGGGACCGTATAACGATGGACTTTGTCATTGGGCTACCTCAAACTCTAAAGAAGAATGATTCAGTTTGGGTAATCGTGGATCGACTCACAAAATCGGCTCACTTTTTACCTATTCGAAGGGATTTTTCATTACAAAGACTGGCTGAACTTTACATTCAAGAAGTTGTACGACTTCATGGAATACCCCTCTCTATCATTTCCGACAGAGACCCAAGGTTCACATCCCAATTTTGGCAAGCATNTTGTCATTGGGCTACCTCAAACTCTAAAGAAGAATGATTCAGTTTGGGTAATCGTGGATCGACTCACAAAATCGGCTCACTTTTTACCTATTCGAAGGGATTTTTCATTACAAAGACTGGCTGAACTTTACATTCAAGAAGTTGTACGACTTCATGGAATACCCCTCTCTATCATTTCCGACAGAGACCCAAGGTTCACATCCCAATTTTGGCAAGCATTTCAAAAGGCTTTGGGAACTAAGCTACACCTTAGTACGGCGTTCCATCCTCAGACAGATGGACAATCAGAGCGAGTAATACAAATTCTTGAAGACATGATGAGGTCTTGTGTCATCGACTTTGGAGGAAACTGGGAAAAATATTTACCTCTAATGGAGTTTGCATACAATAACAGTTATCAATCGAGCATTCAAATGGCACTATACGAAGCACTATATGGACGGAGGTGCAGAACTCCTGTATGCTGGACAGAATTAAGTGAGCGTAAATTGATTGGACCTGAAATAGTTCGAGACACTGAAGAGAAGGTAAAGACCATTCAAGACAAACTCAAAGCTGCATTCGATCGTCAAAAATCCTATGCTGATCTCAAACGCAAAGACATGGAGTACAAAGTTGGCGAAAAAGTTTTTCTCAAAGTATCACCCTGGAAACATGTCCTACGATTTGGGAAGAAAGGAAAATTAAGCCCAAGATACATTGGTCCGTACGAAGTCATTGAATGTATTGGACCAGTGGCCTATCGTCTCGAATTACCAAACGAGCTCATCAAGATACATGACGTTTTCCATGTATCAATGTTAAGAAGGTACCAAGCAGATCCCACACATATACTACAACCAGGAATGGTAACCTTGGATGAAAACTTAACTTATGAAGAAGAACCAGTTCAAATCCTTGACCGAGAAACCCGACAACTGAGAAGCAAGAAAGTACCACTTGTCAAGGTTTTTTGGAGGAATCATACCACGGAAGAAGCAACTTGGGAGACGGAAGAATCAATGCGACAACAATACCCATATTTGTTTGACACACTCACAGGTAAATTTCGAGGACGAAATTTATTTAAGGGAGGAAGAATTGTAACATCCCAAAATAGGGCCTAAAAAAATTCATTATATGTTTAGTAAACTTAAATGATTCAATTTGATAATTTAGAAATAATTTTTTTAAAACCAATAGTTTAAAATTTTAAGAAGTAATTATATTGTTAGAATAAATTTTTAGAAGTACCAATTGATGTAGGAACCAATTTGATTAAAATTATGTGTAAAGTTGTTAATTGGACAATTCACGTATTTATGATATTAGTAAAAACAAAACTTAATTATGTCAATAGAACTGAAGTAGTAGAAAGGGAAATAGGATGGGGTAGTTTGGTTCTTCACCCGTGTTCGATTCCCATCTCAGGCGAGGCATGAGTATTTTATTTTCTCTCCTTTAAAAAAAACTCAGTACTCCGTATTACAGAAGAAGAAAAACAGCAGCAACCATCATTTCGAAAAATTAAGATTTATTCCCAAATACTCTACTCATTTTATTTTTTTGGACTCTTTAGGAATCTATGTCTAAGCTATTTTGGATTCTCTTTAGTTACTTAAAGACATTAAATTACTCCATATCAACCCAAACATTATCAAATATTCTTAAAATATTTTTAATGGATTTTGATGACATATTGAAGAGTTTTACACTTCTCTTGATTTTTTTTGATATGTGCCTGATTTTATGATGTTAGAATCCTCCAAAAATAATCTAAATTATCATGATCAAGTTGAGGTAATCTTTATTGGTTGTTTCTACAAGTTTTTACCTATAAATACCACCCAAACTCATTCATTTTTCTCCATTCTCTCTTCTTAAAATTGCAGCAACTTTTCTCTTCTTTATACTCTATATATCCATAAAAATATTTAGTTATTTTACTCCCAATACACTACCAAACCTTTCCCAAAAGACTAGAAGAAGTTAGAGCCAACAAGAGTTCGTTTAGAGCTCGTTTAAGGTAAGAAAACTCTCTTGAAAATCCTGCATTTTTTTGTGTTCTTCAAGTTATTGAGACACTTTTTGCTATTTTTTTTGTTCTTCGGTAAAGCTCCATAACACCTCTAAAGTCTCGGTTCCTTACTAGTCTTCAACAAGTCCGTTTCACTTTCTCTCTCGAACTCAAGGTATGTACAAAATCATATTGCACGGACTTCCTGTTCAACTATTATATTTGTAAAAATCTTTTAAAACAAAACACTCTTTATATGATTCAAAGTTATTTTAAAAAATATACAAAGTAGTATTTTACTTTCAAATTAATATTTTATACACTTTTAAAAGTGATTTATTATAAAATATTGATTTATAAAAATGATTTGATATATAGGAAATAATATTCAAACTTTTATATTATCATAAGTTTAAACAACTTGAGATCATCGTAAACTTGTATTTCGGAGCAACGGTAGGAGACCCTTATCACCGCTCATCGTATACGTATACAGAACCATCGGCCAAGGTTGCGAGAATGATGCCCAAAAGGCATTATTTCTCAGGGCTACATTCGGAGACCCCGGGTGTATGTCGTTAAATTGAATATTTCGTATCTCAGTGGTTTGATAAAATCTTTTATAAAGTTTTTATCTAACTTATATCTATGTAGTTTCATATATGGAAATTCATTCTGTGAAAGTGAGATATTGATCTTTGTAAAAATTATATTTTTACGAGACTCCGTCCTATATTGTTTTGTACCACTCAGCAAATATGCTGAGCGTACAGTATTTTTGGTTTTTACTGTGCGTAGGTGATGTAGCTGGAACAAGTGGAAGTGCAGGACATGGCAATTAAATC